AGATAGACCTCTTTATGAGCTGATTTGCTACACAATTCCTTCTTAACTCCTTTTCCACTGAGGGAAAAGCTAACAAGTCCACGGCTAATCCTTCCTTGATTACTTCCCTTACATATGGATTTTCTTCTTATAATAGAATTAGGAGTTCCTTTCAGTGATGCACTGAAATTCAGTCTTTGCAAAGATCTCTGTACAACCAGTGCCCTTGGCTTAACGCACTTTTAAAATCCCAAGGACACAGAAACAAGGCACTCTCCATCTTTTGCATCTTATTGGTTATGTGATTTATCTGGACACATTCACCAAAATTTCCATCTTGTTATACTTTTTATTTGCATTAACTCATCTTAATGTTAAAATATTTCCAGCTTTCATCTTCTTTCATATAGCTTTCTATAAAGCCCAACTTTGACTGGTAATTTTTAAACTTGACTTATATTTTTACCTTTAATAATTCTATTTCTGTCAGCTAACACCAGTTTAATTCTCTCCTTTTACATATAAGTTTCCCCTTTCCTTCAATAACCCTTACACATGATCCTGTATCCCTCATCAGTGCTGAGTAGACACTGCAATGTTTTCTGCTTTGTGTTGATCACCTACTCCTTTTTGTGTTTTAATATGTTTTTATTGATTTGAGAGCAAGAGGAAGGGAGAAGGAGAGAGAAAGAAAAATTGATAGGCTCCTACCTGTACACCCCCACAACCCAGGCCTGTGCCCTGACCGGGAACCAACTGACGACCTCTTGGTGCATGGGATGATGCCCAACCAACTGAGTCACACCAGCCAGGCTGATCATACTTCTGATTGCTAGGTTTTTCTCTTGGAAATGTTAACATCATCTATTATATTTTAGCTGACTCTAAAGCTCTTCCTACCGTTGGCTTTGAAAGAGTACTATCTTCAAGATGCCATTGCTATTACCAAATCTTAAAACTGGTGTTAACTTTTTTCACTCAATTCTCAGTTTTCCAAGAGCCTCTCTGGCACATCTGTATCTCGTCTACGTCCCTATCTTCTCTCTTTACATCTACAATAAAATAAAAGTCCACATTCATGATTTTGATCCTTTGGTTCTACATGTTCTTAAGTGCTCTTCAGATTTCTGTGTGTAAAATTAGAAAAAAATCATGCCGTTCCTTATGTGTGTATTGCACCTTCTCAAAGGAGGTGGACGGAGATAATAATTAACTTCACATTTGTTAAATATGTATTAAAATGTCAGAGCATGAAAGTGAGGGACCCTGAACTTCAGCTTCACTAACCTCATAAAAAAACTACCTTTATATCTCATTAAAAAAAAAAAAAAAGATTGTAACAGTGGCCTGCCCAAGATTGCTCATTAGCTTGTGGTAGATCGCTGGCCTAAGCAGGCTAACTCCTGGTTCACTGTTTGTGTGTTGTTGTTTTTGTTTGTTTGTTTTTTTCAGTAGAGTTAACATTCCATCTCATCATGGGCAAGGGCATTAGTTTTCACAAAAATAGTAGCATTTGTTTTTGTTTTTCTCAATTAGTGAGTCATGTTTGCCATTGAATTTCAAGCCAATGCCTACAAAAAATGAAAAATTGATAAGCAGTATTTTTGGCTCTTTCCCCTCTAGCCAGTGTTCTTCTGCTATCTTTGTTCTTCTGTGGATGAGAAAGGAGAGCAAGATTCTGCTGTTACAGATAAGTTGTGTACACAGCAAAGCACCTTGTAAGGAAAACATCCTTTCCTTAAAACAGCACACCACTTACAAATCAAAATACAGGAAAGTTGGAAATTAAGCTAGAACCCAGAACATCACTTTAAAATACCATTTTCACAGTCGTGATTGTTAAAACCTTGCAGTTTGTGAAATTATTTTTTTCTTCAACGGGAATGCCTTGACTCATGAAACATTCCAATGTAATTTCACCATCCACTATCTTTTAACCCAGGTGCACAGTTAACTGAGTGGTCAATTGATCAAATAAGAGCTGACTGGCCAGAAAGTTCCTCTGAGGTTTGTAGATGGAAAATGAACTGTTGAATCTTTCCACTGCAGGTTAAATGCCACACAAATTATTCATGATCCTGCTGGGAGGCTTAGTGAGTCCATAAATCATAGGAATGCCTCAGTGTTAGTTGCTCATATCAATGAAATCTGACTTGCTATGGTTGATGGTGGGGCTAGAGAGAAACAAGAGGATCTGATGTCAGGAGCAGTGTGATTAAACCAGAGTCTTCCAGATCTACGGCTGTTTTTACTCTGACACATGCCATTTCTTTTTCTACTGTAACCTGCCACTGTGCTCGTCTTGATGGTAAAAGGACGGGCGGTTAAAACCTAAAATAAAGTGGCCTTCCTCTCGGTCAGTGAAGCACGCACACACAACCCTAGAGAGTGTTCAGCCAGTCTTCGCTTCTGGTCAGTGAAAAAATTCCTAGCCCCGGCAAGGCCAGGTCAATGTCACATCTCTAGGCTGTTGGTACTGGGTCTTGGTCCAGTCTTTTGAGCAGAACCTCCCAGTTAACCTGCCATCAGAAGATTCCTCTTATTCCCTCTGAAGTATGGTAGCAACCATCTCAGGTAGAAACTGTAGTTTAACTCTAACCCTGTTGTTTGGCTTAACAATACAAAAGTTATTTTGATTTTCTGGATTGTATAAATCATCCCATTCGATTGAATGACTATCCCATTGATTGTGATCTTACTGGTTTTAGAAAGCACAGTCTTCTGTACCTGGGAAACAGGAGAGCACAATTATCCTACATTGTTTTAGTGGCCACAGATAATGCGTTCCAGTTGACTCAGTGGTCCCAAGACCAGGACAGCACAATTACTCTAAATTGCCTCGATGGCTCTAGATAATGAATTCCTGACAACTCAGTGGTCTTGAGACCTGAGGGCTCTAGATAATGTGTTCCTGTCAACCCAGCGGTCCCAGATAATGTGTTTCTATCAACTCAGTGATCCGGAGATCCAAAACTGTAATTAACATGCTTAATTCTGCTTCTGTAAACTGCTTTTTTGCGAACCAGGTTCCTCATTCCAAACCCTGGGATGTAATCAATACCTTTGTGATTTTTGCCTATATAAACCTGGTTTTTCAACCATCTTGTTACTATGAAATTTGGGAATGACCCCTCATAGTCCCGGATTGCAATAAATGTGACTCTTTGATTCGACTTCTTGAGGCGTCCTTCTGTGATTCGCAGGGTACATTACAACACCTCCTCCTCACACCCTCTGTCTCTCCCACCACCCCCAGGTTCTCAGTCCTTTTCACCCCCACCCCCCACCCCTTTCCCTCACGAAGGTCCTGCCTTTCCTGTGTCTTACCTCCATTGTGAGTTCTAAGTCATTTTGTGTCTTTGTCTATGTCCATGAATGGGTAGGATAGTGAGGGGTCAATTCACATCAGCATTGCAGTAAAGGAGAGGAAGGAAGTCCTCAGATAAAGGATCTGAAAGACAACTAGCACAATGATTAAACCCCAGCCACCTTACCTCCTGCAATATATCTTGCTAAAAATATCTGTCTCCTTCCTAGCTTTGCATTATATCCTGAGGGTTCACCTATCTCCATGGCCTTTGTAAGTGACAGTCTCCATCTGGGGAGAAGCAGAAGGGATAAAAAGCGTTCCTTCTCCTTCCCTCATTTTTCTTCCCCCTTCCTCCCCCTTCCCTCTCCTCTATTTCTCTCCCCCCTCCCTCTGAAACCTCAGTCCCATTTTTTAAGGCTTTCCAACTTTATAGTCCTTCTACCTTAATCACACACTCTCACTATCCATTCCCACACATATTCTCCAGATTTCTGTCTATATAATTGGGAAAAAAATGCAGTTCTTTATGTGTGTATCATACCTCCTCACACTTGTTAAATATGTACTAAAACATTGGAGCATGCAAGTGAAGGGCCCTGAACTTCAGAATCATTAGCATCATAGAAAATCCACCTGTGTGTTTCAGGAGGGGGACAATGAACTTGGAATCAAATGTAAGGAAACTTAACATCTCCTTGTATCTGGGGGAAAGCACAAGTAAGGGCAACCACTATAACAATATGAAAAGTATGCGTAACTTTCAAGCCAGGAGACAGAGAATGAAGAAAACTCAATTATTCAACCTTTTTATATAGAAAAGAAGAATGAATCAGCACAGGTCATTCATTGATTCATGCATTTGCTCACTCAGTGGAGTTTTACTGAATGTCAGTTAGATGCCAGACACATGTCCCTGCTCACATTCATAACAAAACATTTAGGAAGTGCCTGTTTCTCTAATCCAGGAAAACTTAGAAAATAATTATCTCCTTGTTTATAAATCTCTCAGTCTATTTTATAATCTATTAAGTGAACACTACTTTTAATAGTTGACCTATTTTATAAGCACAAAGGCTATTCTGGCTCTCTCCTTCCCAAAACGCTCATTTGTTCCAACATTTGGCTCTGTGAAATAAAAATGAGCCACAGGGACTCCCACTCCATCACTACCATGTGACAATACATTTCTTTAACTCAAGTGTACCTTCCCAAGCACGCCTCTCAAGAGTCACTGATGGCCCTGACAGGTTTGGCTCGGTGAATAGAGCGTTGGCCTATGAACTCAAGGGTCCCAGGTTCGGTTCCAGTCAAGGGCATGTGCCTGGATTGTGAGCACGTCCCCGGTGGGGAGTGTGCAGGAGGCAGCTGATCGATGTTTCTAACTCTCTATCCCTCTCCCTTTCTCTCTGTGAAAAATCAATAAAATATATTTAAAAAAAAAAAAGGAATCACTGATAGCTTCTGCTTCTTTTAGTAGGAGGGTTTAAACTCCAAAATTCAAACAATACAAATTTGTACCTGGTGAGTATAAAGAGAACCAAGGTAGGATTCAGATGTCTTTACAACCAAGGGAGTACACAGGGCATCAACAAATTGGAGGACAAAAAAATATATATATTCACATTTTCTACACTTAAAAAAAATTACAGGTCTCACAAATGTCTTTGAAGACAAAAAAAATTTTCAAAGTCCTTTGAAGGATGGGAAAGACGATATCTGAAATGGAACTTTCAATGTACAGAGAGTTTTACTTCACAAGACCAATTTTCTTGGCTTCTGCTTCATATATCAATAATCTCCACATTTGGACTATAAAAACTTCTGCTTCTTCATCAAGTACCATGGCAACATCATCTAAAATGCTCTGAGGTGAACTATGAGCCATCACCTTAGAACAAACAAAATCAACTAATGTAGCTTCTTCTTCACCTACGTATTCTATAATTTTCTTATTAATCCAAGGTCTAATTCGTCTTTCCATCAATATAGAATCCACAATAGACCAATCCAGGGGATAGGCAAAAAGCTCAGGTTTGGCTGTAGGAATTTTCTCAATGAGACTATTAATGTGTTTGCACTTTTCTTCAGTGTTTACGGTGCCTTTGGCAGCATTTTTATCATCTTCACCATAATCCAAGGGAACCAGTTTCCTTTGTCTGGGTACATCATCACTGTCTTCATCCTCAGATTTGTTAAAGACATTATCTACAGGGAGTTTCTTTCTCTTCACAGAGTTAGGTTGACGAGGACTATTGGAAGCACCCAGGTTAAGTCTCAGTCCTATTTTTGGCCTATGCTCCTCAGGTTGTTGTTGATCTGGCAAATTTTCTTGAGGAATAATAATACCACAGGGAGACTCATTCCCAGGGGTGTTGGGCGTTGCATTGCCACTGGCAGAGGAAACAAATGGGGCAGAACTGATGGGCCTCAGAGTTGGTTTAAGACAGGGCTTCTGCTCTGGCTCTTCTTCCTCTTCCACAGGTTCCTCTCGTTTTTCTTCTTTTTCTTGCGTTTCTTCTTCCTCTTCTTCTGATTCTGGTTCTTGCTTTATGTGTGGTTGTCTGCGCCTCTCAGCCTCTTGTTCCATCCTCTGAAGCTCTGCATCTGGATCCGGATGCTCTTCTGCCAGAAGTCGCTGCCTGGTTTCCTCTAGCTCTTCCTTCTCTCTTTTCCTATCCCGTTCATCTGCTTCCATTTCCTTTTCCCTGTCACGCAATCTTTTCTGAAGAGCACTTCCTCTGTAATATTTGGGATCATCTCTCTCATCATCATAATCTTCTAAGAATTCTTTCAGTAGTTTAGCTTCTTTTGCCATTTCTCTTCTCCTCTCCTCTTCTCTTTCAGCCTCTTTCTCATACTCCCGGCTCTTCTTCCGTTCTCTGATTTCCCAGTTCTTAACGCGCTTTTGATAAGCAACTTCTTTCTCCCAGAGTTTTCTTGGTTCATACTCTTCTCTATCCCTCTTCCTGTATTTTCCTCTTTCTCGCTCTCTTTCTCGCTCACGTTCCCTTTCTCGTTCTCTCTCTCTCTCTCTTTCCCGCTCCCTTTCACGATCTCTGCTCTTTTCTCTTGATCGATTCCGATCTGAACTCCTTTCCCGATCGCGGTCACGATCTCTCTCTCGATCACGATCCCGATCTCTCTCCTTTGCCCAGTCACGATTCCTATCCCGTTCTCGTTCCTGCTCCCGTTCCTTCTCTTTTTCTCGTTCACGTTTTTTTTCCCTTTCACATTCTCGCCTTTCTCGTTCCCCTTCACACTCCCTCTCTCTTTCTTTCCGTTCTTTCTCGATTTCCTGTCTTTCTTTTTCTTTTTTGCCTTTCACTTCTTCCAGTTTCTTGTGTGTATCTCTGAATTTGCTTATCTCTCGGGATATCAGGTCTCTTTTGTCCTCTTCCATTTCTATAGCATTTATATCTTCCTTAGTGATGAGTGGATACAGGTTCAGAGGTGCCACTGGAAATCTGCGGAAAATGTCCTCCTTCTTCTTCCTGGGGTGAGAGTCAGATTCTTGTGAAGGGGCATTGAGCTCACTGGAGTATTCACATATTAAAATTTCAATGGCCCCTTTGGTCATCTGATCCCTTCTCTTCGTTTCTTCATCTAAGGCTTCTTCGTCATCATTAGTGACAGTTTCTGGCCTAACAGTCCCATTAGAAGCTTTCTTCTTTGCTTTCCATTCATCCAGTTGTACCTTTGTCTTTGCATCAACTTTAACAAGCAGTTTCTTCTCTCCAATCTGCAGGTCATGCAATAACCTGAGTGCACGGAGGGTAGATTCAGGCTCCTTATACTCACAGAATCCAAAGGCTTGAAGTTTTCCAGATGCACCTTGTACTCTCTTCCAGCTTAAAACCAAGCCACATTTAGCAAGGAGTTGTCTTATGAGCATGTCTGAGGCTTTCTCAGAAATGTTGCCAAGAAAAACAGTAGTAGTAGGACCATAATTTTCATCATTTTCCTTTGCCTTTAAGCCTGGATGATCCTTTCTTGCTCCCAAATGCTTTCCAACCATGGACACAGTGGGTACTAGGACAGTTGGAGCAGGAGCTATAATGCTTATTGGTACAGGAATCATTGGGGTTCCTGGAGGTACAGGTAGAGGAAAGCCAGGAAACTGTGGTGGTGGAATCCCTGGTGGGAGTGCTGGTATTCCCATGGGAGGGCGATTCAAATGAGGGGGGAAGGGCATTCTTACTTCAGATGTCCGCCACCCAGACAAGGGTACTGTCTCCGTGGCCCTCTGGGCTCCTGGTTATGGGAGACTCCACTGGTTCGAGGTTTCTGCGCGCTGCTCACAGGAAGACTGTTTCTGAGGCGACCACTCGCAAAGGCCGCAGTGCAAACACTACCACGCTGCTCGGGGAGCTTCTGGAGGTCTTCCTTTTCGGTGCCAGATGTTGGGGTCCAGTCCCAGCAGGTCCAGGGGTTCCCAAAGGTGTGGATGGAGTCGGCGAAGAAGGAATGACACAGAGACAGCGTACAGTTGATCAGCAGCCTAGCCAGGTTCTCCAGCCAAGTTCTCTAGCCAGGTTCTCTAGTCTCCTCTTACATCTGTATTTATACCAGTTGATTTTAATCCTATCCATTCTATTCCAAAGGTTAGGGCGTTTCTTATCTCCATTCCAAGGTCACTACTCTACTGTTCTGTTAAGCTACAAGGAAGTAAACTGAAGGAGATTATCCTAAGTAAAGATTATGTAGCTTAAGCATGATTGTTCATAGTTAAGGTGATTTACCTGCCTGGCACTTAGTTAAGAGGTTTTACTGATTTATTCCCTTCCTTAGTCCTGTTAATCCCTAACTCCAGGGAAAAATTCCCATCTGGGGAAACAACCTTTCTTGGAGAGGTCACCCTGGTTAGAACACTTAGCACTAAGAAGGGGAGCAAACATATTAAGAACAATATGACATATACGCCAGGTCCCTTGAAACATATGCTGTGCAGATGTTTCTTCCCTACAGCGACTGTGACAAGCAGCAAGGATGGACCGGCTTCTGGCATCCATCAACAGATGGAAGGGTCAGTCTCCCCTCCCCTTGAATTCAGGGTGGCTCTGACTTGCTTTGACCAATGGAATATGGGAGAAGGGATGCTGTATAAATTACAGGCTCAGGCCTTTAGACAGTAGTTCTCAACCTTGGCTGCACATTAGAATCACCTGGGAATCTTTTTAAAATCCTGACTTCTGGGCCTCATCCTCTGGAAATTCTGTTTCTTTGTTACTAATGTTGTGGCCCCACCCCATAACAAAGAAACAGAATTTCCAGAGGATGAGGCCCAGAAGTCAGGATTTTAAAAAGATTCCCAGGTGATTCTAATGTGCAGCCAAGGTTGAGAACCACTGCCTTAAGAGGACTTGAAATTTGCACTTTTACCCTCTTTAAAGCCTTGATATGCAAAAAAAAAAAGAGGAAAAAAAATGGTCAGGGCTATTCTGCTGGAGAAACAAGTTGAGCAGAGCTGAGATCTTCAGCCAATAGCCAGCATCTAAGCCCCAATATGTGAGGGAGATCATCTTGGACATTTTAGCCCCAACTAAGCCAGCCAAATACAGCCACTTGACCCCAGAGGGAGCAGAAGAATTGCCCAACTGAACCCACCAACCACAGAGTTATGAGAAATACTAAATCCTTACTGTTTTAAGCCACTACTCATAGGTTATATAGCACAATGTACCTGAAACAGAGACACAACGTTATGGCCATCTAGACACCACAAGGACTCGTAGGCCAAATCTTTGACTTTATAAAAGTCAACTCCTGAAGAGACATTCAGAACTAGAGCTTGTTTTTCAGAAAAACTGTCCTCAGTGGCACCTGCACAGATTTCCCCAGTAGGCCTGGGTTCGTGTGAGAATGTGAGAGCTGTGAAACAGCACAAATATCAAGGTTGAGGCCCTCGTTTAACAGAATCTAAGGCTAGAGAGATCAAGAAGCTGGCTCAGGGTCACACAGCCTTCTAGTAATCAAGCTGGGACTTGAATTCAAGGTCCATGAGTTTTAATCTACTCCTCTTTGCAATAAACTACACAGCTTCCTACCATTCCACAAAAAGATTTCCATCACATCAGAATTATAAACAAAATAATAGGACCAGGCAAAATAATAGTCTCAGAAAAGAATGGTTGGCAAATACTGTGCAGCCCATTAGGCAAAATGTAGTGTGCTGTAGTATAGCAAGCACAGGCTTTGGGGGTCAGAATATCTGGGTCTATGTCCCTAAGCTACCACACATCTCTTGCGTAACCTCTTTAAGCCTATTTCTCAACAGTGAAGCACTCCCAGGGCTGTAAGCATGAACATGCTTTACAACTGCTGAAAGCACTCTACAGATTCCATAGGAACTATTAATAGGAAAGCAGCCTGTACTTATGGCTTGACACCATTCCCTTAGACTCCCAGGAGAATTTCCTGAGAGTTGACTTTGGATTTGAAACTTGCCTCCACTGTGCAAATCAGGCTCAAGGTTACTGAAAAGAAAGCTGAAGCCTGGCTGCCTCGCCTAGGAACCTTGTCCTAGACTCCAAGAGCAGGTGGTGTGACTGCTGGGGACAGACTGAGCTGGGAGAGATGGACAATCAATGACGCCCACTCCACACTCCACCCCATTTCATGCTGGTGTGCTCATGAGGAAGTGTGGCCCCGAATTACCCCAAGTAACAGGGTTAGGTAAGATCCAAAGCATGATTCCAGGCTGCAGGGCAGTTTTAAAGGCTTCAGACCATATGCTGCCTCTAAAGCATGCAAGCACACCCTATACTATACTAAATTATAATAGTATTTGCTATTAATATTTGCATATTTTGTTATCTTTATAAATATCTGTCAAAAAAACAAAACCTTTTTTCTTACTAATTTATATATGGAGATGAAATGACAGATGGTGTAGAACAGTGATGGCGAACCTTTTGAGCTCGACCTGTCAGCATGTTGAAAAACCCTAACTTAACTCTGGTGCCGTGTCACATATAGAAATTTTTTGATATTTGCAACCATAGTAAAACAAAGATGTATATTTTTGATATTTATTTTATATATTTAAATGCCATTTAACAAAGAAAACTCAACCAAAAAAATGAGTTCGCGTGTCGCCTCTGACACGCGTGTCATAGGTTCGCCATCACTGCCCGATAGAATACCTATCATTCTCTTGGGCCCCTGGATATAAGGAAGTGTGGTTGCTCAGACATGTGTTCAGAAACATGACCAAGCTTGCCCTTAGCTCAGGCACTGGGAAACATCAATATCTCTAGGACACAGGGTCTGAGCTGCCCCTTGAGAATCACCCCTTTTTTCCCAAGGCAGAAGAATATCCCAATCCTGTTGGGAGTGAGGGATGAGACCTTCCAATTTTCCCAAGGGGAAATATGTGACCTCCACTTGCATATCATTTACCCTACCCCACCTCAGTCTACTTTGGGCAGCCATTCTTATTTTTACTTCCCAACTGTGCACATTCTCTGTGCCCCAGCAACCTGACATGTTTTTGTTGTTGTTGTTGTTTTGTTTGTTTGTTATTGTTTTTGTCAAGCAAGATGTTGCTTTACATGGCTAACCCCAAGCAATATGTAAATTTGCAAATCAGGATGGGAAGGAGTGACTGTCCCATCAGTGTTGTGTGCGAATGAGAGAGATGAAAGGGGTCTAGTGGCAGAAGGAGGAGATGTGCCAGGAATCTATGAGGGTAAATACTTAGCTTCATGATGCATCACAGCCCAGAATCAAAGAGGCATCAAGAAGCACTGGGAGAGGCTCCCATGGAAACTGCTGTGGGCATGGGGACACTCAATATTCAGGAAAGACAAAGCCTATTGAAAGAAGAGGGAGAAAGGACTCATTTGATAGAAATGGGAGCAGTGAAAGACAAGATATGCAAGGCAAGGTTGGGCAAGACTATGAAAGGCTATCAAGGCCAGATGTAGAAATACCAAGTTTGGGGGATTTGGGTCTAAGGCTTGTCAGTCTCCCTTTCATTAGCCCCTTCCCTTCATCTTCCAACCTACTATAACAATTGAGTTGCTTAGTCTTCCCTTATTAGAATGCAAGCTCCATTGGGCGTGTATTTTTTTCTTATTTTGTTCAATAATGTATCTCCATCCCCTAAATCAATACCAGTAGGTGCCTAAGAAATATCTGTTGAAAGAATGAACAGATTCAATAATATGTATCAGGTTGAAAGGGAAAAATAAGACAATGACCTTTTTATCACATTGAGAGAGTCTTTAACGTGGAAATAAACGGAAGAGTGACAAAATTCAATTTCCTCTAGGGGCTAGATTTGGAATGAAGATTGTTTTCGGATGATAGATATAACTTGCTGTAAAATCTGAGAGGCACTACCACCTCCAGACCTTCACTTTCTTATCTCTTCCCATAATAATGTAAGTCTACTTCCTATAAATCCCTTGTCCTATCATTCTTGTATGGACTCTGTGCTCCTGCTAAAGTTTCAATCAAACCTTGATTTAAAAAGTTGTTGATACCAGGAGTGGTCCCAGGAGAACAGAAGGATGAGGATAGGAATCCAGAATTGGTTCTCTGGCTAGATTTAAAGGCATTATTGGTCATGTTTCTATTGGTAAAAGATACTGAAACAGCTCATGGCATAGAGTGACAAAGAGTTACCTAAAGTACTGTCTTTATCACCTGGAGTCAAATTCCTACAGAAGGCAAAGGCTTTGGATGATCAAGTAGTTGCTGCTATAGAACCTTTTATTGGAAATACAATATAAGGACTATGGGGTCGGTTAGTTGCTCCTAAGTGAGCTGGAGAGATTGAAGAAAAAACTGATGAGTTTAGGGCTTTGCATTTCCAGCTAAATATCTGTGTAAGTTATCAGAAAACTTCTACGACTGTTCTGAAAGAAACTATATCTCCATAGCCACAGGATTGGATTTTTAAAAAATTATCTTTATTATTGACAGTATTACAGATGTCCTCCTCTTCTCCCCCATCCCCAATTGACTTCCTCCAACCCACTGCCGCCCCCTCCCCAGGCCTTTACAGGGTTGGATTTTTGAAAGCCTAAAGTCCAATTCTGAAGATGGGGTGCTTTCCTATAAGATAGAGTAAATGCAAAAAACCAGAGGCAAATAACAGCGCCATCTCCTTATAGGCTGAATGCTCGTGCCTGAGAAGCAAGAGGTAAAAGTGGACATGGCTCCTCTCATTATTAGATTTAATAACCTA